GAGAAAACGCCATTAAGAATTGATAAATGCTTGAGGATATAACTGTTTAACAGGATCTAAACAGTATACAAGAGATACATGCAGTAAACCTGACAGGCTGCCCACTCTGTTTAGTGTCAGTTCAAATAACAGATCAGGAAGAGCATCGAGAAAGTTAAGGCTCACCTTGTGGAGGGGCTGTTGGTGTCTAGGCCCCGCTCAGGAGAGGGATCAGCCCACATGCTCCAGATGACCAAGCCCCCGAGAGTGTCAGGTGCTGGGAAAAAGGGAGGGAGGGCGATGGTGCCCTGCTCCTGCTGAGATGGTGACATTTGGTGTCCTTCTCACCACTTTGCTAAAAGTTCTCAAGGTCAGAAAGTTTTGTAATTATTTCTATTTCCTTGACGTAACATTGACAATTAAAACGATGCATATTCACACTTAGAGTGCAACGTGACAATGCACACAAATGCTGTGGAACCATCGTCAACGCAGAGCTAAGGATGGTACACCACGCACAGGTTCCATTCTTTGACAGTGAGGAAGCTTACAATCTGCTGACTTACACGTTTTCACAAATACAGACCACACAGGTGTCAAAAGCCCTCCTTTGTCTTTCTGAGCCTGTATTACCACACTTCACGTGAACTCCCCAGAGTCATCTATGTTGTCACAAATCCAGGACTTCCTCCTTCTCATGGATGAACAATCTCCTGTTTTGCAAAGATACCACATTTCCTTTTTCCATTCCTTCTCTCATGGACACCTGGGTTAATCTCCTGGCTTGCTGATGTAAACAATATGACAGCAACCGAAGATAAGAAACAAATATGCCACTGGACATTCCTGGAGTTTGGAATCTTATGGCATTTCTAGTGTTTGTGTGCACATGGACCATGGTATAACTTCCAGTCATGTTCTTATTTACATTCTCACTGTCAGCCTGCCTGCTTTACATGACCCATCTTGGCCCCCAACACTCGGTATCTCTCATGTTTTATAGCATTTTTATTGTGCACTTTTGCACAAACAGGGACCTTGCACTCTCCCTCTGCTTTCTCACTCAGGGCTGGTTCTCTCCCATTTGAGTCAGGCCTCAATATTCTTTTCCCTTTTGTATCCATGACTAGGACTCAAAGTCAGAACCTGATGCTTTCTCTCATTGACTAACCGCCTAAAAACTGAGCCATGCCCCCAACACCAGGGTTGATGATTTTCTTTCGTTTCCTTCATTTCAGGGTTTTTGCTAGTTAACAGGTCCTCAGCCCATGTGTCCCATGGCAGAGCTGGCAATCCCTCTGTGAGCACACCTGATGTTACCTGCTGACGGCTCAGCTCTCTTCCCCAGCAGAGAGCTGCACACAGGTCAGAGCTCAGTGCCACAGTGTCTCCACCCTGACTGCTTCTCTGCCATGTCCTGGGTCCCCAGGAACTCCCTGTCGCTTCTCCTTTCCTCTCTTCCTCAGAATCTACTCATCTTTGTGTCAGTGGATTCTTGTTCATGGACAAAAGTGTTGTTTACGTTCAGCTCACCATCTTGTCCAGCACTAGGAATCACTTTAACCAATGAATCGAAAGACTGATGCAAGGAAACTATCAAAGGGTTAATAAAAGAATTTGAAGAAGACACTAGTCACTTGTTGATAGTTACCAAATACTCATTTACCTATGTTTTGTTATGAGTGTGACTCACTGAGGTTATTACAAGTTCACAATAGACATGATTTCGTCCCAAATACACAATATATATGAATGAGAAAAATAGATTATAACAAATGATACACCAGAGCCCACTATCAAGCCTCTGCCTGAACTCTGGCCATCCTGGTTGGTGGTCAGAATGAAGTAAAATGCGGCAAGGCCACACCTGATCTCGGCTCAGGAAGGAGGCTCTGCAGAGCTCAAAGATGAGCACCATTTTCCTGGAACACACCAGAGACTGTGGGCCCTCCTTGGCTGTGCAGGCCCAGACCAGGCATGGAGTTCATACCACGGGAGATGCTGCCAGTGTGGAACCAAATTCACCATTGTTACACACTCTTGCGTGTGCACAAGGAGGTCACAGGCATGTTGCACTTTGTGTTTTGTGTGATCAGAAATGCTGACAGAACGATCAACAGGCACAATGGCAGAGAGAGAGGACATGTGTGTCCCTCTGCACCCCAGACAGCTCTCAATGTCCTCACACTCTGCCTCAAGCTTCCAAGGACCTGCAGATACAGTGTGAACCACAGCACATAGTCAGTGTGTCATGATGTCTCCAAGGTGACCATTGTTACCAAACTCCTCCAGCACAGTCACCTCTGCTCTGGGAGCCCAACCTCTGGACTTCCCCCAGAGCTGCTTTATAGCAGAGGACATGCAAGTAGAATGTCCCTCTCCCCATGAAAACCAGCCTATCTCTGACCTGAGCTCTGTGAGCTGCTCCACCAGTGACTGAGCACAGACCATCATTATGGAGCTGGGGCTGCGCTGGGTTCTCCTTTGTTGCTCTGTTGAAAGGTGATTTATGGGGAACAAGGGATACTGAGTGTGCAAATGGACATGAGTGGGAGGAACAGTGGATGTGTGTGACCATTGCTGACCAGGATTCTCTGTGTTTGCAGTTGTGCAGTGTGAGGTGGAGCTGGTGGAGTCTGGCGGAGGCTTGGTACAGCCTGGGGGGTCCCTGAGAATCTCCTGTGCAGTCTCTGGATTCACCTTCAGTAATTCCTCATGAGCTGGATCTGCCAGGCTCCAGGGAAGGAACTGGACTGGATAGAAGAAATTAATACAGATGGTGGTAGCACATGGTACGCAGACTCTGTGAAGGGCCGGTTCACCATCTCCAGAGACAACAGTAAAAGCACACTGTACCTGCAAATGAGCAGCCTGAGAACTGAGGATAAGGCCCTGTGTTACTGTGCAAGGCACAGTGAGAGGAACCAGTGGGCGCCCAGACACACAGGTGCAGCAGACTAGGCCAGCAGGCGCTGAGCCCCCGTCAGCTGCAGGTGTGATGAGCAGGTGGCCCTGGGGTCTGCAGATGACGAGGTTGGATGGGATTCTCAGCCACAGTTCTGGATCTGGTCACTGCTTGATTCTAGAAGGACTCATGTGTTCTTAATTGTCTGTGTTGTCCACACCTGTCCTTCACGCTAAATCCCCTGCACACGTGGCCTGTATTCAGTTTCTAGACCCAGGCCCAGTACCAGGACCTGGAGGTCAATGAGGCTGTGGCCCTGGCTCCTGCATGCCTGGGAAGAACTCACTGGTGTCCCCAGGCTGCGTGCCCTGGACCGTCCTGTCCTCCACTCTATGGACTCTGGCGGGAAGCTCAGGGGATATCTGTAGCTAAGGGGACATGGATGAGTGTAAAAACAGTCATCACTTGGGATTTCACCTGCATCATCTCACTGTCCTGAGCCTGTGCACATGGGACTGAGGACCGGCTGGGGCCAGGTCCTCCTGGAGCACGTGGGCTGTGGAGGTGCAGGGTGGGTGGGAGCTCCTGCGATTGGCCATCAGGAAGAGATCTAGAACCTCCCACAGAGCCTGCTGCAGATGCTGCCTCTGTGGTGGAATGTCATCCTCTCTGGGCTGTTCCCACTCATCCACCCAGGTTGCCAGAGAGGAATTAGTGAGCAATTTCATTCCATCCATACAACACCTCCACTGCAGCCTTCAACAGGCTAGGCTTGTAATGTGCCACATTGATCTGCCAGGGGTATTTCCAGTCCTGGGTCACTCAAAAGCCAGGCTGCCATGCCACAGTATCAAGTCTGTGTTTGTGTAAAGGCCTGGAGAAAAGGCTCTTCAGAGACAATTGAGAAAGAGGGACAATGTAGCGGTGGGGACCTGGGTCTAGCGTGGCCACCTTCCTGGCTGACAGGTTTCTCACAATGTTCATGGAAGAGAGCAGTGCTCCATGTGCAATAAGAGCAGAGAGCTCAGGTCATCCCTGCTTCCCAGAACAATGATGCTAATGGTCCTCTCCTGCTGTTGTTATATGTCTCACTGGGAGACACATACAATAGACCCTATGGAGAGATCAAAGAGTACAGCTCTTCACAAAGACTAAATCAAAGACCAACAAAGTAAGCACCAGAAAGTGGGTACTGGGAGTGGAGAGATGAGGGGCAAATGCTAGAAGGATGAAGGAGACAACGTGGAGAACACAGGCAAGAATACAGTGCCTATGCCACAGAATTGAGAACACTGAGCTAAGGGTGGGTCAAAGGGGAAAGGTGAGGAAGGAATGACACAGATCCACATGCCTTGTATCCATGAACTGCTTTGTTCAATGATGTCAGCATACATGTCCTAAATACTAATTAGAGAGAGGGAAGAGGAGGTTGGAGAGGTAGGCAGGAATGCTGAAAGGTGTGACATTGATCAAGCCTCAGTGTACTCATAAACTGCCTCACCGAACGGCAACGCCTTTATAGAACGACTTAAATATCAAAATGTTTTATTTAATTTTTTATTGAATTTTTTAAAATTATTTTTTGTGTAGTTGATGTACAGTGCGGTTACAGTTATGTGAATCAGGTACAAACTGTGCAGTTCTGTATGAGCCATTTTCCCCTTCTTTTGCTCTCTCCCAATCCTTCCCTCCTGTCCCCACCCATAAGATTTCCAGTTTATTTTCCACAGTGTCTGCTGAGTATCACTATTGTGTTTGTTCCTCCTTGTTCCAGCTTATATGTGACCCCCTTACCATCCCAAATATAAACACAGTAACAAACAAGACAAAAGGAAAAGGGAATATTTTTTGAAAAGCAAATGGCTCAGCAGTCTTACTAACAGAGGCAGAGTTAAAGCTTCTTAAAGAAATTCAGATTCAATCAATAGTTTTTCTTGAAGCCAATTAATAGTTTGTCCACTCAACTAACAAACTCTGTCTTCCGCCTGCATCTCCTCTGTGCACTGCCCTCCTGAGACTTCTGCCCTAGAGCTGCTTTATAGCAGAGGACATGCAAATAGGACGTCCCTCTGCCCATGAAAACCAGCCCATCCCTGACCTGAGCTCTGTGAGCTGATTCCACCAGTGACTGAGCACAGACCAGCACCATGGAGCTGGGGCTGTGCTGGGTTCTCCTTGTTGCTCTCTTGAAAGGTGATTTATGGGGAGCAAGGGATACGGAGTGTGCAAATGGACATGAGTGAGAAGAACAGTGGATGTGTGTGACCATTGCTGACCAGGATTCTCTGTGTTTGCAGGTGTGCAGTGTGAGGAGCAGCTGATGGAGTCTGGGGGAGGCTTGGTGCAGCCTGGTGGGTCCCTGAGACTCTCCTGTGGAGCCTCCGGATTCGACTTCAGTGATTACTACATGCACTGGATCCGCCAGGCTCCAGGGAAGAGGCCTCAATGGTTCTTAAATATCAGTGATGATAGTAGTGACACAGAGTATGCAGACTCTGTGAAGGATCGCTTCACCATCTCCAGAGACAACAGCAAGAACACACTTTACCTGCAGATGAACAGCCTGAGAGTGGAGGACTCGGCCATATATTACTGTACTAGACACACAGTGCAGGAAATCCAGTGTGGGCCAGACACAAACCTCCCTGCAGGGCGCTCAGCACCAGCAGGGGGCGCTCGGCACAGCTTGGAGCCCGGTCAGCTCAGGAGCAACTGCACACAGAGCCCAGGGCTGCTCTCCTGCTGTCTGCCCTGCCTCTGTGTCCACAGTGTGACAGCATCTCTCCTGAGTTCATGACACACACTCCTCTGTGATGTCTCCAGTCCTTTGCTGGGACTGTTAAGAATGAACAGAGTATCACGGTGGAAGCAAAAATGGCTCTGCAGTAGTGACCAGTATTTGATCCTGAAGAAGGTCAGGGACTCTGGTGACTTCATTAGACTCAGGACAAAGATCCTAGGATTCACAGAGTCAGAATTTGTTCTGTGAACAAGAGGGAAACCGCCTGTCATGGTGACTGGTATCTGTAATCCTAGAGACTTGGGAGGAGGAGAGAAAAATGATTTTGAGGACCTCATCCCAATCAATAAGCTGAATGTGGCAGCTGTTTCCTGTGATTTCAGCTACACAGGAGGCAAGTGTGGAATCAGTGTCTGGAACCTGCCCCAGGCAAAACCACAGCACAGTACCAGAAAATAACTAAGATTTGAAAAGTTGTAACAAGGTTAAATTGGCAGGTTTGAGCCTCACAAAAGAGGCCCTGAGTTCAATATAGAAGAGACAGAGAGACAGATACAGACACAGAGACAGATACAGAGACAGAAACAGCACAGCTCACTAACTCAGGAATGTTAATAGGCCTCAAATCCTTCCTTTCTCCCTCACCTGTAGCACTGGGCATGGGGCTTCAGATTCTTCCATTAATTCATTTTCCTCCTCAGTGACTCTCATACTCTCAGCCTCCTTTTCTCTTTGCCCAACCTCCAAACGTACTTGGGGACCCAAGTCATAAAACACAGAGTCAGCCATACCCCTGGAGCTCAGCCTAGGCATCCTGGGAAATGTTGGTGGACTCCTCAGTCTCCCCTGCCCAGGGCCTCTTGCTGTCCTCCATGGGGACATGGAAGTGGACACAGGGAGTCTGGGTTGGACTGGAGAGATAACAGGCCATGTGCATGTAGACTGACTTTAATGGGCCCCGTCTGTCCAGGGGTTTCCTCCATCACGATGGCTCTGGAGTCCTGTGGATGTCCCATCTGGGATGGAGGCCGGGTCCCTGTGGCTCTGTCATGAGCACTGTCACTGTGCACGTGCATCGTGGGCAGGAGGGGCTGGGCCAGGTGATCTCACAGCAATCTGACTGAGCTCCCTGCATCCCAGACACCCCCATCTGCTCAAACAGGTCCTTCTTTATTTCTCCATTACATCCTGATCAGAGAAGAGCAAGCTTCACTTCCTGAACAAGAACCTGTGTGTGAACTCTACTGGCTTTAGGAAGACTTGCCAGTTCTGAGGTTTTCTCCGGACAGTTTTTGTGGATAATCAGACCAAGTATTCACTTGTTCGGGAAGCATCCGTTCTGTATCCATGTGGACACAGATGTGTGCAGGAAGCAAGATAATCTCCACTTTGTGGGGGAAGGAAAGAGAGTCAGGAGGAGAAAAACTGGAAATGCGGGAATGTGTGACACTGTTCAAATGGAAATGTCCTCATCACCTGATTTCGGTAACTGTAACCCCTCTGTATATGAGCTTTTCAATAACATTGTAAATATTAAAGAAAATTAACATTAAACTGTTCTGTAGTCCAGCAATTCCACTCCTGGGAATTTATACAGAAGATTACAAACCAGGAAGCTTTGGAGTCATCAGGTTAAGGTATAGAATCAGCCCAGATGCACGTCCCCACTCAGTGTGTATGTGTCTGTGTCTGTGTCTCTGTGTGTGTGTCTGTGTAAGCGGGAGGGGGGTTGACATAAGTTCTCCATATGTGACCATTACATATTTGTTGAAAGACAGAGCCTCCCTAGACCCAGCCATAGCCCTCCTGGGCACCGACCCTGACATCTGGAGCCAGGATATGAGGACAGCTGCCCGTCCATGTCCATTGACACGCTAATCACAATAGCCAAGATGTGGAAACCGCCCAGACACCCAAATGAAGGAGTGGATCCAAAGCTGTGGTACCTACACACAAGGGCATTTTACACAGCCAGTAGAAAGAACAAAGTTGTCATCTGCAGGGAAATGGATGGACCTAGAACAAACTGTGTGATGAGGTAAGCCAAGCTCAGAGAGAAAAATGGCTCACGTTCTTCTGATATGTGGGAATTAGATCTAAACTACAGGGGGATGTGATAACTGACATGGGACATGATTCTCCATATCTGACCGTTCCATACTGGCTGACAAATGATATCCTCTAGACAATCGAGGGCCAGGTATTTATTCCAGTCCATCTTATCAACCTATGTTTTTCCTTCTCTTTCTAGAACTTCAAAGGTGAGCTGAGCACCAGTGGCTCATGCCTTGTAATGCTGGCTGCTCAGGAGGCTAAGACCTGAGGATCATGGTTCAAAGCCAACCTTGGCAGGAAAGTCCTGTGAGACTCATGTCCAGTTCACCACTCAAAAACTGAAAGTGGCACTGTGGCTCAAAGGAGTCAAGAGCTAGCCTTGAGCAAAGAGAGCTCTAGAACAGCACTCAGGCCCTGATTTCAAACCCACGACTGACAAAGCAGAAAAATAGGAAAGAGAAACACAAGCTGCTTTCTTTAGTAAACTTATATTTACTATCTTTAAGTAGTACAAAGAAGTGACTCCTCAGCAGATCTGTTCATACGAACAATCCTCCTTGAGCAAAGTGACCCTTTCATCATTCTCCTCAGGCTCCCAACCCCTCCCCTCCCCTCATTTGTTTAGTTTCCTCAGCGATGCATTGATATCATGGCTGCTTTCTCACCCCTCCCCTTCCCCTCCAACACCTTTCCAGAGCTAGTGCCTGGTATTCATCTTGGAGTGTCAGCTAGTATTCTAAGGAATTACACCATTTGCATTGCAGACACCAGAGTCAGGTAACACATCTGTGTGCACTTGTACACAATCCCATTTGTGTTCACGGGCACATGTATGGATTAGATCGGGCTTCCACACAGGAGGGAGAACTTGCATCCTTGTCTCTATGGGCTGACTTACCTCACTTAAGCTAACTTTTGCCAGGCCTGTGCATTTCTTTGTGAATGAGGTAAAATCATTCTTTCTAGTGGATGAGTAATTCCATGGTGCTCCTATACCACTCCGTCCATTCGTCCATTGAGGGGCACCGGGGCTGTTCCGGGCCTTGGCTCAGTTCCTTCCTCTCTGCAGTGCTTGCTGGTCACTTCCACTCTGCCTGCCAGGAGGCTGCTGAAGTCTAGCTTTGCTGGGAGTCACTGCTGGTGTGCTGTCATTACGTCAGCACTAGAGGGCAGTGCAAACACAGATTTGTTCAGAGTGAACCAGGAAGTCAACTAGAAATAGTAGTTTATATTCTCAGGCCTGTGCCTGGGGCTGGGGAAGGTGCAGATGTACAATACAACACACACACACTTTGGCAGTTAATGGAGATGTTAGTGCCATGGACTTTCCTACCCGGGGCTGGCTTCAAACCATGATCCTCACAAATCAGCTTCCCAGGAAGCTGGGATTATAGTCATAAGCCACAGTACCAGATGATTTTAATTCCTTTTTATTGGAAGAGAGTTTGAAATATTCTTTAGTATAACAGTGGAGCAATAGTCCAGGGCTTGTCAGGATATGTTTACATTTAAATTGGACATGAATGGTTTAAGTTTTATTTTTATGTTTGCTTACAGAAATAAGTGCACATTTCAGGTGATTATATATTTGTGGAACACCAAATATGAAGATATTTTGTTCCCCAACAGTTAGTACATGCAGTTTTTAATATAAGTTTACTGTCATTATTAAGATGTTGTCCAGACCAGTTACCATTTCCTAACTCTGGTAATGAGTAGATTCTTTTGGACAATATTATCCAGTACATGAAGTTTTACCTGTGGATGGACTTAAATGAGCGAGAGAGATGGAATTCTAGGGTGTAGAGACAAAAGCTAACTAGCTGCCTTTTCTACTTTTTCAGTGAAAAACTAAAATTGGGATTTCTACTTGTATGAACTCACAGACCAGTCCTTCACTTTTTCTACCTCCCCTTACATTTGAGATAATTATAATAGTTTTCCTCCTGCTCTTCTTCCCATCCTCACTTCCTTTTAATGTTTCCTTCTGTTCTCTATTCTTCTCCACCTCTGCTTCCTACTGCTCCTCCTTCTTCCTCTCTGTCTGCTTTCTTACACATCACATTTCATAGGAATCCTGTCTACCTGAGTGACATTCACTCTGCTTCCATGGATCTTCACATCACTATCAGAGTTAGCATCTCCTGTGAGGGCTCTGCCCCAGCCTCTTAGCTAATCAGCAGTAATATCCTGGCTGCTGTTCCCTGTGTCCCTGAGCAGCAGAATCCCCTGGATAAAAGCAGAGTGGACAGAGCACAGGTGTGAGCCTGCATCCTGCTGAGCAGAGTGCCTTCCTACAGGAGCCTTGGCGATGCGAGTCTCCAGCTGTCACCGTCTTGTGAAGAGAGTTCTGTCTTCCTCCCCATGGGCACTGTGCTGGGCCAGCAGCTGCCCAGACTCTGCCTTTGCCTTGCATCTCTACAGAATGAGGAGAACACCTTGGTGGAACACCAAGGAATCAGGTGGCTGCACTGGTTTCCTGAGCCCAGCGGCAGTCCAGGCCTTTCAGACATTCCTGGTTCACTCTGTTGCACACACTTGTCCCAGGCTGAGACGTATGAGCTCAGCCCACATGACAAAGGGCCTCGACCCACCATGTGAGCCCAAGTGTGGTGGTCAGACCTCCCAGTTCAGGACAGCTGCATGTCAGTCAGACGTATCAGACAAAATGACCCAGCATGGTCCATGGTGCCACACAGACTCCAATCTTCACCACTGCATGCCACCATCAGCCACCTCAGCCCACGAGATCCACAGGAAACCTTGGGACTCCAAAGTCCAACCTCAGGCCTGCTCAGGAAGTCCTTCCTGAGGTCAGCTGTGTCTTCTCTCTGTGCTTGTCACCTGGTGAAGGTGTCACTAAGGACAACAGGTTATGTTACACGGTGAGATGTTACCTCATTGAGGACTGAAGATCAACTTCAATCAGTGATGTGTCACCTGATAAAACCTCCAGGTTCAAACGTGAGATGTGATATGAAAGAACTTTTAAGTTTCTCCATGTGTCTCTCAAATAAATATGAGTGAAACACGAGAGTTTCCCAATTGCACCAAATACACAAACACACAGGTGGAGTGTTCAGCGTGTCTGCTGCCTGCTGGGGAACTTGGCACATGCTCATTGTGCTTCATCTGGGGAGCTGGCCAGGTGTCCGCATGGAGCTTCCTTATGTGAGCCCTCTTACTTGAGTGAATGTGAAGCACTGCTGGTCAAGAGCTGCAGGACACGGAGGAACCTCCCTGCCTGCCCTAGACACAGCCTCCTCCTCTGAGGACAAAATGAGCTCCATCTCTCTTGGTCTCTCACCCACCCTCTCCAGATTGAACCAGGTGCAGGGTCTCTGCCTTAAAGTCTGGGGACAGGACCCTGTCTTCCAGAGAGAGGCCCAGAGCCTCACTGCCTCTGAACCACAGCGTTGAACCAAAGCTCTGCTCAGAACCTGGTTCTGAGTGTCACTGGCCGTCCCCATCCAACAGTGCACCAGACTTGCCCTTCTCAGCCTCCCCCTCCTGAGCCATGAGGCCTGAGTGGAGGAGGTGGAGTCAGCACCCAGGTGAGAGGAATGCAAATGCACCCGGCCCCTCCCACGCCTGGGTTGAAAAGACCAGCACCTAGCTTGGCTGAGGACGGCTGTGGACAGGACAGCATGGACAGGCTGTGCTCTACCCTCCTGCTGCTCACTCTCCCTTCCTGTGAGTGCTCTGCTCAGGGCCCTGGGGTGGGAAGTCTCTGTGCTCCCCTGACCCTGCTTCACCTCCTCCTGGTGTTTCTCCACAGGGGCCCTGTCCCAGATCGCCCTGAAGGAGTCTGGACCTGGGCTGCTGCCACCCTCCCAGACCCTCAGCCTCACCTGCTCCATCTCAGGATTCTCTCTGAGCACTACTGGTGTGGCTGTGAGTTGGATCCGGCAGCCCCCAGGGAAGACCCTGGAGTGGCTGGCAAATGTGTGGTGGGATGATGGTAAGTCCTACAACCCAGCCCTGAAGAGCCGGCTCTCCATCTCCAAGGACAGCTCCAACAGCCAGGTGTTCCTCACACTGGACAGCGTGGACTCTGCAGACACAGCCACCTATTACTGTGCTAGAAACCACAGAGGCACAGCCACAGGGGCCTCCTGCACAAGATCTCAGGCTGGGCCTCAGCTCTGTGCTGGCCCCGAGCATCAGGAAGGTGCAGCTGCTGCTCTTTCCTGGCAGCCTCTGGGCTTTCCTCTTCCCCTCAGGGTCTCAGGTGGTTTCCTGTTTCTTCTCTAAGTTCACATCTCAGCTTCCTTGGAAAATGTTCATGAAGAGATCCTCAGCTCTGCTTTAAAAAGAAAAGTGAAGCCTCTGATCCTAGCTATTCCGGGGTCTGACATCTGAAGCTCATGTGGGAAGCCAGCCTGTCCAGGCAAGTCTGTGTTGCTCAAATCTAATGATCCAAGATGGCAGTAGTGAAGCTGTGGCTCAAGTGGTAAGATGTTAGCCTTCAGCAACAGTTCATGAACTGGGTCCAGGTCCTGGGCTCCAACCCAGAACAGACACAAATAATACAGCCTGCAGGCTTTTATATGTCATGATAGAAGTTAGTTCTGGCTGACTCTGAATACAGAATTGTTCACTAATGAAGTGTGTCAGCACACTCACAACTAGAATTCACTGAATGACCAGGGCTCAGGGACTGGTCAGGTAAACATGACAGGAACCAGGAAAACAAAGGTTTCAGGTAGAGTAGCTATGTAGCTGTCAAACACTGATGATGGAAATGTACATATTTGGCCAAGAAGAGAAAACATAACAAATTCATAGCCCAGTAGTTTAAAGCACTGCAGATCACTGGGTCACAGATGCGTGTGTGAAGATCACATACTGGCCCTCCCCAGCCCAGACCTGAGGGCCTTTCTCCAGGTGCCTCCATTTTCAGACCTCCAGAGTTCAGCCTCACTGTTCTCTGCCAAGCCAGCATCTCACAGGCTCGAGAGGCTCTTACAGTACCGTACCGGACACAGGAAGGGGACTGCTGTGCTTACAGTGCCCAGGACAGGTGCCTATGGTCCAGGCACATAAGGCTAGCTGTTCTGGAGAGAGAGCGCAGGGTGCTTGAAGGTGGAGATCTATTCTAGCAAGTTTCTGGAACTCTTTTCAACCATTTGCTGTGGTGTGTGTGTGTGTGTGTGTGTGTGTGTGTGTGTGTGTGTGTGTGTGTGTGTGTGTGACAGCCCTGCCCTGCAGCTCCTGCAGACTGAGATTGAGGAGCTCACCAGGCCAGCACAGCCAGGCCAAGCAGTTCATGAGACTCCATCTCATAGAAAGACACTCAGTGTGCTGACATGTGCCTATAATCCCCAGATGGAAACTTCACATAGGAAGATGGAGCTCCAGTTGAGAATATGACCAAAATCACCAGACCCTTCTCAAAAATGGCACTGATACCATCACAGACTGGAACTCTGCCCAGTGCTAGAACACCTTCATAGCAGGCCTGGGGCCTTGAGTTGAAGAAAACATCAGTACCTGTGCTGCCCAAATGAAACATTTCCAGCCCTGTTATGTACTCACATGCACACAGTGTGAGTGGATTTACATTGTGTGTCAGAAATAAAATGTGGTCCACATTGTGCAAAGAATCTCCAGGCTTGCAGGTGTGGCTCTGTTGGCAGACCTTTAAACAATGAGTAAAAGCATCAGGCACCAATTTGAGTTTTAATATTTGACTTCAAAAAAAGAAAGACTAGAAAAGTATCTTTCCAATTGAACTAGTCCATACCTGGTCTTGAAAACTCATAGGTAAGAGTGTACATGTGTGTGTGTTGGTCTAAATTATGTGTGTATATAATTCATACATATTCACACATGCCAGCCTATAGTTTGTATATATGATGGGTGTGTCAATGTGTATGTACACATACAAATACACCATACACAACTATCTGTGTGTATATACATATAAGGCATTTACATAGGTATATCACATGTGTATATATATGTAAGTAATTGTGTATGCAATATTTACATGTGTGGATGTCAATGCGTAAATACTTTTCAATCCCTGGAATGGGAAGTGAGGTTTCCATGTTCCCTACTGTCTTTCCTCTGTGAATACATCCAGGTCCCTGAACAGCTCCTCAACCAGACATCCCGTTTGGTGTTGTGAGGATGGATGCTGGGCTTGATGGACTGGAGACTAGATCCAGACTGAGCTCTCTGAGGGCAAAGCTGAATCTATAATTCAGGGGATCCTGGGCAAGGACAATTGTGCTGTGTCCCTCCCTTCCTCCCTCTCCTCCCCTCAGGTCTTCAGCTATATGTATAAATCCCCCATGAAACTATCTGCTATGTCACCTGGTTGATGTACATTTGTGTTATCCACTCCTTTCAAGATAAATTCTACTGTTTCTGGTCTAGTCTGCAAGAACACGGAGCATTTCTGGGGTGTCATCCCTGATTGGGGTGTCTGCTGTGGGACCATTGTCAAAGCAGAGCGAAGGTCGTACACCACGCACAGGTTCCATTCTTTGACAGTGAGGTTGCTTTAGGTCTGCTGACTTACACGTTTTCACAAATACAGACCACACAGGTGTCAAAAGCCCTCCTTTGTCTTTCTGTGCTGCATTACCACACTTCCCGTGAACTCCCCAGAGTCATCTATGTTGTCACAAATCCAGGACTTCCTCCTTCCATGGATGAACAATCTCCTGTTTTGCAAAGACACCACATTTCCTTTCTCCATTCCTTCTCTCATGGACACCTGGGTTAATCTCCTGGCTTGCTGATGTAAACAATGCCACAGCAACTGAAGATAAGAAACAAATGTGCCACTGGACATTACTGGAGTTTGGAATCGATGGCATTTCTAGTGTTTGCGTGCTCATGGACCCTGGTATAACTTCCAGTCACGTTCTCATTTACATTCTCGCTGTCAGCCTGCCTGCTTTACATGACCCATTTTGGCCCCCAACACTCGGTATCTCTCATGTGTTTATAAGCATTTTTATTGTGCACTTTTGCACAAACAGGGACCTTGCACTCTCCTGCTTTCTCATTCAGGGCTGTTTCTCTATCATTTGAGTCACGCCTCAATTTTCTTTTCTCTATAATTTTTTTTTTCCAGTCATGGGCTTGAACTCTGGACCTGGGCGCTGTCCCACAGCTCTTCAGCTCAAGGCGAGCACTCTACCACTTGAGCTATAGCACAACATCCAGTTCTCTGGAGGTTCGTTGGAAATAAGAGTTTCAGGGCCTTTCTTACCTAGGCAAGCTTTCAACCATGATCCTCAGATCTCAGCCTCCTCAGTAGCTAGCATGCCAGGTGTGAGCCACAAGTGTCCAGCTTTCCTTTCTCTTTTTGATTCATGATTGGGACTCAAAGTCAAAACCTGACACCTTCCCTCATTTACTAGCCCTCATCCTACTGAGCCAGCCTCCTATAGAAGGGTTGGTGATTTCTTTCTGTTCCTTTGATTTCAGGGTTTTTGCTAGTTAACGGGTCCTCAGCCCATGTGTCCCACAGCAGAGCTGGCAGTCCCTCTGTGAGCACACCTGATGGTACCTGCTGATGGCTCAGCTCTCTTCCCCAGCAGGAGAGCTGCACACAGGTCAGAGCTCAGTGCCACAGTTTCTCCACCCTGACTGCTTCTCTGCCATGTCCTGGGTCCCCAAGAACTCCCTGTTGCTTCTCCATTCCTCTCCTCCTCAGAATCTGCTCACCTTTGTGTCAGTGGATTCTTGTTCATGGACAAAAGTGTTGTTCACCTTCAGCTCACCATCTTGTCCAGCACTACGAATCACTGCAACCAATGAATTGAAAGACTGATTCAAGGAAACTGTCAAAGAGTTGATAAAATAATTCAAAGAAAATGCAAGTCATTTGTTGATACTTACCAAATAATCCTTTACCTATGCTTTGGTACATGTGTGACTCACTGAGGTTATTACAAGTACAGGGTACATATGATATTGTTACACATATACAATACATATGAATGAGAAAAATAGGTTACAAAACTGATACACAAGAGACCACTGTCAAGGATCTGCCTGAACCCTGGCCGTCTGCGTTGATGGTCAGAATGAAGTAAAGTGCAACAAAGCCACACCTGATCTTGGCTCAGGAAGGAGGCTCTGCAGAGCTCACAGATGAGCACCATTCTCCTGGAACACACCAGGAACTGTGGGCCCTCCTTGGCTGTGCAGGACGAGACCAGGCATGGAGCTCATACCACAGCAGATGCTGCCAAGGGGAAACAATTCACCATTGTTTTACACTCTTGCGTGTGCACAAGGAGGTCACAGGCGTGTTGAACTTTGTGTTTTGTGTGTGATCAGAAATGCTGACAGAACGATCACCAGGAACAATGACAGAGTGAGAGGACATGTGTGTCCCTCTGCACCCCAGACAGCTCTCAATGTCCTCACACTCTGCCTCAGGCTCCCAAGGAGCTGCAGGTACAGTGTGAACCACAGCGCATGGTCAGTGCGTCATGATGTCTCCAAGGTGACCATTGTCACCAAACTCCTCCAGCACAGTCACCTCTTCTCTGGGAGCCCAATCTCTAGACTTCCCCCCAGAGCTGCTTTGTAGCAGAGGACATTCAAATAGGACGTCCCTCTGCCCATGAAAACCAGCCCATCCCTGACCTGAGCTCTGTGAGCTGATTCCACCAGTGACTGAGCACAGACCACCACCATGGAGCTGGGGCTGCGCTGGGTTCTCCTTGTTGCTCTGTTGAAAGGTGATTTATGGGGAACAAGGGATACTGAGTGTGCAAATGGACATGAGTGGGAGGAACAGTGGATGTGTGTGACCATTGCTGACCAGGATTCTCTGTTTGCAGGTGTGCAGTGTGAGATGTGGCTGGTGGAGTCTGGGGGAGGCTTGGTGCAGCCTGGGGGTTCCCTGAGACTCTCCTGTGCAGCCTCCGGATTCGACTTCAGTAGATACTGGATGAGCTGGATCCGCCAGGCTCCAGGAAAGAGGTCTGAGTGGCTTGGAGAAATTAATCCAAGTGGTAGTAGCACAAACTACCCAGACTCTGTGAAGGGCCGGTTCACCATCTCCAGAGACAATAGCAAGAACACACTTTACCTGTAGATGAACAGCCTGAGAGTGGAGGACATGGCCCTCTATTACTGTGCTAGAGACATAGTGCAGGAAATCCAGTGTGGGCCAGACACAAACCTCCCTGCAGGGCGCTCAGCACCAGCAGGGGGCGCTCGGCACAGCTTGGAGCCAGGTCAGCTCAGGAGCAGCTGCACACAGAGCCCAGGGCTGCTCTCCTGCTGTCTGCCCTGCCTCTGTGTCCACAGTGTGACAGCATCTCTCCTGAGTTCATGACACACACTCCTCTGTGATGTCTCCAGTCCTTTGCTGAGACTGTTAAGAATGAACAGAGTATCACAGTGAAAGCAAATATGACTCTGCACTGGTGACCAGTATTTGATCCTGAAGAAACTGAGAGATCCTGGTGACCCCATGAGACTCAGGACAAAGATCCCAGGATTCACAGAGTCAGAATTTGTTCTGTGAACAAGAGGGAAACCGCCTGGCATGATGACTGGTGTCTGTAATCCTAGAGACTTGGGAGGAGGAGAGAAAAATGAGTATTTGTGGAGGCCAAATGGGCAAAAACTTAATGAGAACCCATCTCATCAATAAGTTACATGTGGCAGCTGTTTCCTGTGAGTCCAGCTACACAGGAGGCAAGTGTAAAATCACTGTCTGGAACCTGCCCCAGGCAAAACCACAGCACACGACCAGAAAATAAATAACATCAGAAAAGCTGCAGAGAGGGCTGAAATGCATGTGTGTGCCTAAAATAGTAGCCCTGAGTTCAAAACAGTACAGAAAAAACAGAGACCCAGAGACAGAAAGAGACAAAGGGAGAGAGAGAGACAGAGACAGAGACAGAGAGAGACAGAAAGAGAGAGAGAGAGACGGAGGGAGAGAGAGAGAAAGAGAGCACAGCCCATTGACCCATGACTCTTAAGAGGCCTCAAATGCTGCCCTCTTCACTCTGCCTGTAGCACTGCTCAGGGGTTCAGAACTGACCTAACAGAATTGCTCCATTCATTCACTTTCTTCCTCAGTGACTCTCATATTCTCATTCTGCTTTTCTGTTTGTCCAGCCACCAAATGTACTTGGGGACCCAAGTCATAAAAGACAGGGGTCGGCCATACCCCTGGAGCTCAGCCTATGGCACCCTGGGAAAACTTGGTGGACTCCTCAGTCTCCCCTGACCAGGGCCTCTTGCTGTCCTCCAGGGGACATGGAAGTGGACATGAGGAGTCTGGGTTGGACTGGACAGACAACAGGCCACATGCATGTAGACTGACCTTGCTGGGCCCCGTCTGTCCTGGGGTTTCCTCCATCACGATGGCTCTGGAGTCCTGCGGATGTCCCGTCTGGGATGGAGGCCGGGTCCCTGTGGCTCTGTCATGAGCACTGTTACTGTGCACGCGCATCGTGGGCACGAGGGGCTGGGCCAGGTGATCTCACAGCAATCTGACTGAGTTCCCTGCATCCCGGACACCCCCACCTGCTCAAACAGGACCTTGTTTAGTTCTCCATTACATCCTGATCAGAGAAGAGCAAGCTTCACTTCCTGAACAAGAACGTGTGTGTGCACTCTACAGGCTTTAGGAAGAAGACTTCTAAGTTCTGAGGTTCTCCCCTGGACAGTTTTTGTGGGTGTGGAGACAAATCATTCATCTCACCAGGAGACATCCATTACTCTGTCCATATGGAGACTGTAGTGTCTTGGGTCCTCATTTGGATGTGAAAACTCATCAGGAGGAGCTGCTATCTCATAGCACAACACTAATCATTGTAAAAAGATGAAGAAAGGAAAGATTTCACCAAAACAAAATCATCAATACTTTAGAGCATGTGTCTACTTAGACTATTAGTCATTTAACAATGTATATCTGTATTGAATAATAACCAGTACCTGTTAACGTATATCCTTTATAATAATAACTAAATTAATTCATTGGTAAGCAAATGCATTGGCCCTGCCTCTGCTCTTCCTGCCCCAGCTCTCCTCTGTGTCTGCCCTACTTCTGCTCATCCCCTGACAGCCTCCCAGGGACTTCTCCATGTCTGTGTCTGTAGTCATCCTTGACTGTCTGCTTGATGTTCTGCTTTCCACTGTGAGGTTTCAACAAAGCACAGAGAATAACACATCATGGAAACTGACTTTGCTGTGATCTCCAAGATCAAATCTGAGGAATGCTAGAGATGAAAACACAAATACACCCAAGCCTAATGGAAAATGCTGCCAACAAATCTCCCAGAAACATTGAGACATAATGAAACATATATTCAGACATATAGAATTCAAGAATATTACGAAACACATTTACTATCATATCAAATGTAAACTGTACATCAATGTATTGCTAGATTTTAGGCAACTAGCAGCAGCTTAGGCTAGCTACCATCATCTCCATGAACATGCCAAGCTCTGTGAAGCTATGATATTACAACAATCACAAGGTCACTAAAAATAGGAATGTTTTATCTGCACCATAATTCTGTGGGACAACTTTATATATCCTGATCATCACTGCCTAAACATTGTTGTGAGCTGAGCTGCTCATAGCTACGTGTTCTGAACTGGAAGTTGTCAAGATGCATGGCAAAGGCCATTCTGATGTTTCTCAGCTAGAACTTAGGGACAGGGCAGTAGAGCATGGAGCACAGGACATCCTAGGGAGCATGTGGCAGAGGAGGGCTGAGATTAAAGTAAATGTCCAACAAGAGAAGAACAGATAAAGGAAATGGGAAAGGTGTGGACAATGGAATAGAACTAACCCACAGACTGGGAGAGAGACTGTCATTTGTGATAGATCTAAAGAGAGTTAAAGGAAATAAACCAACCATAGAAACAACAGTATCACATTATGTCTTATTTCCAATAACTAGTATATGTCTGAGACAAACAGAAACTATCAGAGAAGTTGATGTTACGTGAAATGAACCCCAAGATAAGGATTCCACTGTTTTTTCTTTCTTTTGATTTTTTCTAACATATTTATAAGATGATTTATTTCTTGCTTTGTATGTCCCTCCCCCACAGTATAACCCCTGCTTTCACTGTATTTGATGTTGGTATAATGTGTGGAGGGGAAGGGGAAAAATCATTTAAATAGGGATCCAGGTGGACACGTTGCAACAATGAGCTGTACAAGAACAATGGCAGAATGAGAGGACGTGTGTGTCCCTCTGCACCCCAGACAGCTCTCAATGTCCTCACTCTCTGCCTCAGGCTCCCAAGGAGCTGCAGGTACAGTGTGAACCACAGCACATGGTCAGTGTGTCATGATGTCTCCAAGGTGACCATTGTCACCAAACTCCTCCAGCACAGTCACCTCTGCTCTGGGAGCCCAATCTGTAGACTTCCCCCCAGAGCTGCTTTATAGCAGAGGACATGCAAATAGAATGTCCCTCTGCCCATGAAAACCAGCCCATCCCTGACCTGAGCTCTGTGAGCTGATTCCACCAGTGACTGAGCACAGACCACCACCATGGAGCTAGGGCTGTGCTGGGTTCTCCTTGTTGCTCTGTTGAAAGGTGATTTATGGGGAACAAAGGATACTGAGTGTGCAAATCGACATGAGTGGGAAGAACAGTGGATGTGTGTGACCATGGCTGACTGGGATTCTCTGTTTGCAGGTGTGAAGTGTGAGGTGCGGCTGGTGGAGTCTGGGGGAGGCTTGGTGCAGCCAGGGGGGTCCCTGATACTCTCCTGTGCAGCCTCCGGATTCGACTTCAGTGATTACTACATGCACTGGGTCTGCCAGGCTCCAGGGAAGAGTCCTGAATGGCTCTCTGCGGCGAACGCCTTCTCGGCCAGCGAGGAAGAACCACCACCACACCAGGAGTCTTCTCAGATCACGCTTTATTGGAGAGCCTTCTTGTTTGTAGGAGAGCTTGAGCGCGAGAGCGCGTGTACACAAAACA